GTGCCAAGTTCCGGGACTCCTCTCTCTGCTCTCTTCCCGTGCACACGTTGGTTGCTGTTCGAAACATGTTTCTTACAAGCTCCCTTTTCGTGTGAGAGGGGTGAGAGGAGAGGTAATGAACCAAGATATTTTTACTACTTGGCTTTCGGTACCACTTTGTAATGTAGCCATTTTCTGATAGGTGAATTTGTACGTTACTAATAATAATTTTGCTAATTTTTTGTTTTTTTGTTTCTAATTTTGAAGTTTCCGTTTGCTAATTTGTATCACAACTGCTTTAATCTGGATAAAACAATTATGGCGAAGAAGTACGTGTAGAAAATCGACGAATTCCATCGGAAACTTCAACAGCTGTGCCCTGCAGTCAAATGAACGAGACCAATCTCTCTTGGTGGTAATGAACCGCCACGGTTCAGGTTGAAAAAGCTAAGCTACTTATCGCTGCTTCGTCCACCGTACTCGTCCAATCTCTCACCTGCCAACTGGCGCTTCTTTAAGTAACTCGACAACTTTCTACGAGAGAAATCCTTCAGAAACAAAACCGAGGCCCAAACTGCTTTTAACGACTTTATCGCATGCAGAACTCCAGATTTTTTTTGTAATCGAAATAAACAGATTTTTTACTCGTTGGCAAAGATGTATCATGGTGGTTTTTGTTTATTTAATAAAGGCTGAGTTGAGATATGTTGCTTTTAGAGCTCAGACTGAGATCATGCATTGTGTTCCAAACAATCTGACCACCTGTATCACCTGCAGTACCGTTGGTCGTCGACTGACTCACGCTGACACCAGTAAATCTTCCATTTTTCCCAATCGCGTGAAAGAGTAACCTGGTGGATTTTACTCGATCTACAGACTCTTTGAACATCATACATTTCTTCTAGGATTTTCGTGAAGAACTCTGACCATCGGGTCGGTGGTCTTCCTGCAGTAAGAGTGACATCCTGACGAATCCAGTAACTAACGGCTCTTGTCCATCGGTTGTCACTCATACACATTACGTGTCCAGCCCAGCTTATCTTCTCTTGTTTGGCGTACAGAACGGGATCTTTGCTTTTGATTGTTGACGCAGGTCAGAGCTTCGGATCCTTTCCCTTACTCGCATGACACGAGACATTCCAAGCATTGGCCTTTCCACTGCTCGTTCAATAATTTTTATTTTGATTTCATGATTTTTCATTCTGCTCACGCAGCGACCAGGCATACGTTAAGGCAGGGGGAATCGTGGAGTCGAAAAGGTGAGCACGGAATCGAATGTTCTTTGTTCTCTTCACTACATCCTCGATTCTCTTGAAACCTCTCCAACACGCCATTTTCCTTCTACACAGGTCTGGAGCTAAGTAGTTCACCATGTTGATTTAGCGACCTAGATAGACGTAACTGGAACATATACATATAAACAAATTTAAAATTCTGTGATATTCATTCCGTTGAGGCTCAGTGGAGCATCCGTAACCAAACAACTCCTCGTGAACATCGTTTTTATGAGACTTAGTCGAAGACCAATCTTCCCACAGGCTGCCGACCAACGATTTTCACTCCCATATTGTCCCATTCCAACGTTCGCATGACGTTCTCGAGGGTGGCGGTGAATAATTTTGGCGAGATGGTATCACCTTCCCTAACCTCTTTTTTTGAAGTCGATGTTAATATCGCTGTAGAATAGTGATATCTTGGCTGTGGAATTTTTGTACAGCTCACGAAGAACCTTTGTGTGCTGAGTAGAGACTCCCTGACTGTTCAGGGCTTCCATGACTGCTTCTCTGTCAACTGAGTCAAAAGTTTTCTTTGAATCGCTTAATTTGAGAAATAGCTGTCTCCGAGTCCAAACAACCTGATAAACACTGAAAACATGTCAATAGATGTTTCCCCTGTGATTTACCATCCTATGTGATGATTACAGAATGCATAGAATGCTTACTCGTGGATTTCGGTACATAAGTACAGCAGACGAATCAGTCTGGCCACCGGATTTAATTCTCATGAATGAACCTATCCGGAAAAAGTTTTTTGTCAGTTATCAAGTGTAAGTTAGAGCTTTCTGGCCGACAATGGAATCTATTGCGATACTTGTCCATAAAGAATTTAACATGTACGTCCCAACATCTGCGCCGGAGAAGTTACCGGATGATGACAAAACGTATGAAAAAAAACTCTGTGCTGTAATAATAACGACTGGGAAGTGGAAATTATGAGTGACCAGTGGTGGGTCGCCTGACCTGAAGTACATGGATCGTATATGACTCATGTCGTCGTCAATATATTAAATCTTCGTGGGTATAACGGTGTACTACTAGCGCGTTTGATTGTGTATATGAATGACACCTTGAACGTTTTGGTACCGCTGTTGTGTCTAGTGTATTGCAAAGTGTATCCGAAGAAGAATTGACTTTTAATAACATAAATTTCTTAAAAGTTCCGAACATATGCACAGTTGTAGAACCGAATGTTATTTACAGGATACTGATAGAAACGACATCTGAAGGCAGTTTACATAATCTTAATACAGATCAGAAAATCCAACTTTATACCCCTTCTCTGACAGCAGTTACTTAGGAAAACACACTATGGCAGGTAACAGGAGGTTTGAGAAAAGTCGAGTTTGAGCAATATGGCCACATGGCCGAAAAGAAGTTTGCAGCAATATTTTATGCTTACTTGTAGTTGTCTCGTTTCGTCAGATAGCTTTTCTTTCTACTGCAGATGAAAATTACAATTACTTCTTGGAGAATGTTAGGAAATTGTGCAAAAAAGAAATTTGGTTTAGAACTGATGGATGCTGCTATCACTTGAAGTATATCTGACACCTCGTAGATCTTCATAGAAGCCTGGATCTTACAGTTAATGAAACTGAAATCTGCAGCTAAGTGCCACCAACATTGGTGCTGTACAGAAATAACCGCTTAGTGCAAAATAATTACGAAATCAGAGGTCCATATTACGCGTACCACCTCTATCCACGGGGTTCTGAATATTCCCTACGACCCATCTGTTTGAATCTCGCAGCCAAATTGCATGTGTAGTAGGGTCTTCTATGAGATCGTGTGTACACTAGAGTTTCATAAATATAATAGAATAGTAAGGACAGGTAATTAGTGTTCTCCAAAGACTCGGCTATGTTGAAGGTTGAAGCTGAACCGTGAGTGACAAAATCGACAACTCTGCAAGTCGAGCGAAGATGAAGACGTTGAAGGAGAACCATCTGCGTGTTGATCGATGTACCTGCAAGATTTCACCGAACAAATACGTCTTTAGAATTCCGTAATGAAAAGGGATTTTTTAGAAAGGCCCAGTCACAGTGAATTATTTCTGTATGGTTTTTACTGTTTGTCAGCAAAAAGGAGTCTTCAAAATAATGCAACGACCACAGCATTTTGTGGTACTTAATAGTATCAGTATTAGTACTGACCACTAATTAATAGTAGTTAGTAGCGAACTCGTTCCGAATTTTATATTCAAAAGTTGACCCAAGCCTTCATATTCATTTTTACCCACATAGCCGAAATGAGAATGATCACATACTCTCCAACCAAATGTTTCAACTTTAAAGTCATCATTGGCGATTTCAACGCTTAGATTGGACCCAGATGAACATCTGAAGAACTTCTGATTGGGACCAACGAATTAGAATGGAACGTGGGCTATGAGTGGTTGTCTGGGTTTATCATGATGAGTAAGTTCGTTTAAGGTAACTCAGGAACAATTTCACAATTCGAGTATCACTTTCCCATAAAGACGTGGACATCGACGTAAAGAAAGAGCTTTAACCAGGCGAAACCATTTTGGAACAACATGGGAATTAAATTCTATGGTCAACAATTAAACTGTCTTTGCTTTGTTGATGATATCGTTGTTATAATATTAAGCACTAACACTTTCATGACCATGAGCACTGATTTCGACATGTACGCCGCTGTACCTTTCGGAAAGAACATATTGATTTCAAGGCACAGGCGTTTCTGGTTTATTCTATCGCGGAGCTTTTCTGTCAAACTTTTAGCGACCCGATAGTTTGCCGAATATGAACTTTATACTGGGGCTGGTTATGAATAGCGTTCTCAATGCGTTATACATGCAAAAGGCCGTTTGGGACAGTGGGATGGAATTGGTGGGTACAAAAACCATGAAAGAGACACAGACATACCCTTCAACTATAATGCGAAACCGTATGGAAAGCTCATAACACACGGTTCGATAAACGATGTGCTTTTTTCATCACACATAAGTGTACAAGAACATGGTAACGTAAACGGAAGAACGAAGCAAATACGTAAATGTCGGAGAGACACAACTTATGGGAGGGAACTAACTGGTAGAACGACAACGTCAATAAACCGGTGCCTTATGATTCTCTCAAGAGCTCACAGACGATAGGTCGTGATTCGAATTCTGACTTTGACTGCGTTCCAAGGAGACGCGGTCCGATCAGCACTACGCACGAACATGGCCGCGGTCGTGAAAGGCTTAAACAGGTCGGAGCAATGATGCCTTAATCCGACAATGATCACGGCAAGATTGTTTTTTTACGAAAAGAAATTCATGAAGAGCGGAATTCTTTCATATACTCTATTCACGCTCAATGGAATGTATATCTCCGAACAGTCCTCCAACAGCTATCTAGCTCGAAAAATCACCATGGAGAACGACTTAGCTCCTGAGTTGAACAGGAGCAAACGAACGGCTTTGGGAGCTTTCCCGACTCCCGACCCCGTGCCCACCTTTTCGACTCCACGATTCTCCCTGCCTTAACGTATGCGTCAAAAACCTGGCCATTTCGCAAACAGGATCAAGGGTAAGTTAGCGCTGACGAGCGCGCAGTAGAGAGGAGGAAACTTAAAATATTCCGCATCACGCATTTGAGAGAGGGAATCCAAAGTCCTGATAAAAGTCTATATACGCTGTTATACACGCCGAAATTCCAAAAATCAAGTGGGCTGGATATGTAATGCATTTAAACGACGGCCGATGGACAAGAGCGCTTTTAAGTATTATTAACGGCTGAGACAGTGGATTTCTCGAGAGCAGAGAAAACCATCGACCCTATGATCACAATTCCTTATATGGATGCAGTAAAGAAGATATTATGTTCAGCAAATCCCTAGAGGGAAAGGAATACACAGGGATGCTCTTGCACATGATGGATAAATAGAGAATTTACTGGAACGCATTGAGTCACTCAGTGACAAGTGGGAGGCCATAGTAAACTCTTCTAAATCGTTTTGAATAAAGAAGGACAAAAGCTGGCGAAATGGAAAGTGATTTCACTGAAAGTCATCGCCTTCATTCTATCAATTCTGCGCCTTTCTAACAGCTCGTTTTTCAAGAATTCACATAAAGAATATTACACCATTCAAGGAGAAATAAAGGAAATGTTATTAGTAGGACATGTTATTGAATTGGCAGCTATATTTTGAGAACTAACTAGGGAAAATGAAGTGCTCGTTCAAATGTACAACGACATTTCACAAGAAAAAACGCATTGATGCTACCACAATGATGCTGAGATATTTGCAAAAGTCCGGATCGCAGGTGTCTGCGATGGGAAAGGAATAGGCTATTACACTTTCTGAGGACTAATGCACAATTCACCACCACACTATGCGGTCATTTGTTTCGCCTGTTTCTCAGCGAGCTCTATCGAACAGTGCCATCAGCAATCACCGGTCAACGGGATTGAACTGGGAGCCTACATCGGCATTGAACCCAGTTAAGCTGAGGCTGCAGTCGAAATCACAATGTTAGCTTTTAAAGTTAACATCGCATTGATGCTATTTGTTCGCTACAGCATAATTGAAAGTTTTCCAGAAAACACACCTTATTAGGCGGATGTCGCTAGGAATGTATGGGATTATGTGCTTGGATATGTACAAATTTTCTATGATGAAAGCCTCTCTTGAGATATTTCGTGCTCGTTTTTGCATTAGATTCGCATACAGTTCGGAGACCAGAACAACCTGAAACGAGTCGCTGATTAGTTCCAGCAATTTCCATTTAAGATAAGTTGATAGCAATTTTTTCAAAGATTTTTTAAACATGTTTACAGGATGCAGTTCAAAGAGTGATAGATTTATAGTTAAAGATTTTAGAATACAGGCGAATAGGTGAGAGGATAAGATCTGAACAGCTGAAGAACTTTCCGTCAGTCCTCAGAAACACGCTGGCTCGGTTCCTCATACGTTACCTGTCTGAATGCAAGGTCCCTACTCAGTGGAAGACCAGCGAGACCTTGTTATTGTTCAAGAACGAAACCTCGACGATACCAGCAGCTATCGCGCAATCTGCTTTTTGTCTGTCGTCTACAAACTTTTCACTCGAGTCATCCTAAACAGGTTTGACAGAAAACTGGACGGAGGGCAGCCATTTGAGCAATCAGGGTTTCGAAGAGGATTTAGTACGGTGGACCACATCCACACGATAACAAGACTCACTGAAAAATTGCGAGACTGCGAAACAGCGCTCTGTTTCAATTTCATCGATTTACAGAAGGCCTTTGACTCGATTGAGATAAAAGCAGTCATGGAAGCCCTTGATAGTTAGGAAGTTTCAACCAACCTACTCAGCACAAAAAGATTCTTTGTGAGCTGTACAACAATTTCACAACCAAGATATCACCATTCTAAAACGATATCATCATTGATGTTGAAACAAGAGTTACACAAGGCGACACCATCTCTCCAAAATTATTTACAGCCACCTTCCAGAACGTCATGCGAACATTGGAATGGGATAATATGGAGTGAAAACCGATGGTCGGCAGCTACATCATCTTCGCTTTGCTGATGACATCGTCCTTATAACACCAAACATTAGCCAAGTGGAACGGATGCTTGCTGACTTTGATAAAGCGTGTGGAAAGATTGGTCTTCGACTAAATCTCACAAAAACGATGTTCATGAGGAATGGATTGGTTTCGTATGCCCCATTCACGCTCAACGGACAAATATCTCCGAAAGCTCCAGTTATATCTATCTAGGTCTGGAAATCAATACGATGAACGACTTAGCTCCAGAGCTGAGCAGAAGAAAACGAGCGACATGGCGGGCTTTCAAGAGCATCGAGTATGTTGTGAAGAGAACAAAGAACACCCGACTCCGTGCCCACCTTTTCCACTCAACGGTATATCCTGGCTTAACGTATGCGTCAGAAATCTGGTCGCTGAGTTAGCAGAATGAAAAATCATGAAATCAAAATAAAAATTATTGAACGCGCAGTGGAAAGGCGAATGCTAGGAATATCCCGTGTCATGCGAGTAAGGGAAGGGATCCGAAGCTCTGACCTGCGTCAACGATCAGAAATCAAAGATGCCGTTCTGTACGCCAAACAGGAGAAGATAAGGTGGGCCGGACACGTAATGTGTATGAGTGACAATCAATGGACAAGAGCCGTTAGTGACTGGATTAATCGGGATGTCAAATGGAAGATTTACTAGCGCCCGCTCGAGTAACTCGACTGTCAGCGAGACTACAGGTGACACAGGTGATAGTTAAAGAAACTGGCGTGTGTAGCGCAGTGGTCGGAGACGCCTTGCAATGCACACATGGGATTGAATCGTGCTTCCGTGGTTTCCCAAGCATACCATCCCTCTGGGGTCGGCGAATTGGTACCAATTTATCTGAGAGGGTAGTAGAATTCATTCGGTACATCGGTTGGTTGCCAAGAGTCATAATAAAGCCAGATATTCATTCGATCCCCTCTAACGATACTTAATGAAGTTGAATGTATGACGCGTTCCTCAGGGATTGATCAACGCCGAGAGCATATATCCTTTTTTTAGAGTTGAAAAATTTTAATAATATTTCAAAATTTAAGCAGTTGTGATAGTAAATCCTAAAAAGTTAAACATTTTTAGGCTGTTATCACACGATCATTTTGTGATTTAGCGATAAATATTATTGAGCGTAACGTTGAAGAACGGCAACCTTTCCGCCGACAACGGCCAACGCCGATCTGGCATCCTGGATTTTCCGGCCGAAGTAGTGGATTTTACGGATATATTGTACGCCGACCAAATCTATGCACATGGTGGTAATTGCAAGTCCTGCAAAGTATATGGATGGGCAGTAAAACAACAGAAGAGGTATTTGAAAAATTCTCTGAGAAATTTCATCTACTGTTCACAAATTATCTCGTGAAATGAAAGCATAGAATTATTCGGCATAGCGTTGGTGAAAAGTGGGAGCAGTTCTTGAGTAACATTCCGTGAAATAATATGAAAGAAATACAACACTGTTTTGCATTGCCCTTCATGCATTCTATGCAGAACTCATATCGTAAAAGAACTGAGGTAGATAGCGCTGGTCGATAGAACTAGCTGAGAGATGGGCAAAACGAAGGATCGGCATGGTGTGGTGGTGAACGCGTTAGCCACTCGAAAGGGTAACAGCGTGTTCGTTCCCCACCGTGGACACATGCGATACGGAGTTTTGCAACTATCTCAGAATCGCTGTGATTTTAATAGAGGTAGAATTAACAATAGTTTGTTGGTATTAATTTGAAACACTTTCATTCATTTTTTGGTTTTTAACAGAACTTACTGTGTAGTTGGTATCATGGGTTATGAGTTGAAGGAAAGATGAGAATACCTTTGCTTTGAAAAGGAAAGGGAAGAAGATAAGAACAGAAAGCTCTTTGTAAAGTAAGAAAAATGAGCCGAAGTACTGTAGAAGAAAACTCACCTAGAATAATATACAAGAGAATAATATACATATACTCGTTGCGACGTGGCATCAAATCGCCAAACCCGACCTGAAAATAAACTTATACGCTTGAACAATGGTAGGTAGCCAGATATAAGTAAGCGATTATTTATTAGAAGCAAACACTCTGTTGAGAGCTATAACATCAATAAAACGACAAAATGAGCGTTTGTGGCATTATTAATGTCATTTATGATAGTAGTAGATATCTAAGAGTGACGGGTGGCACAGTTGTAGTGATGGTGGTCATCACGACCACGGTGTTGGTTCGTTCCCGGTACTGGCTTCCACGCCTCCCATTTCTCTGGGACCGGGAAATCGATAACGGACTTGTCTGGGAAAAGTTCGCTGTCTGAACTCTAGATGGAAATGCTCTAACTCGGCAGGAAATTGACACCGGATTAATCTGGAAAAAAAATCACTCTCTTCAATCTCATTGGGAACGCTCCAGCCCGGCTATCTTAAGACTCCAGGGAGAATCGTCTCGACCGGCATTCAACGACATTCATGACGAAACGAAAATCATCAAGCAGCAGCCCTATCCACATGCAAAAGTTAGATCCTCGTGGATAATAGATGGGAGGAAAATGAATCGAATGCAATATGTCCTGGGGTTCGCACAGTTGACGTGAAGGATGGATCGTGTAAAAAAAAATACCTAGTTACCTAGCGAGTCAATAGGTGGATTTGATACAATAATATTAATTTTTGCTATGATTTATGCACTCGTTGGAATAGCTGTGCGCTTGGGGTCAAACTTCGATGGGGAAAGCATTCCTTCGCAACACTACAGAGTCATGCAAATCGGGAATAAGCTCATATTCACCGGATAGCGCGTTATTATAAGTTATCGAGTAAAGTAATCGGCGTGGTTTCGGGGAAAATTTGCTCTCAGTGAATCCTCCGATTGACAAAGTTCAATCTATGGTGAACACCTCGGAAAAGCTCTAGTTCCTTAATCGCTCAAATAGGATATATACTAGAATATACACTACAGCTAGTGAAGATGAGACATTCGAAATATTAAATACGTTAAAAAACTTACAGTTGTCATTGTAATAAATGACCAATAGAATGAAGTAAAGAACGTCCATGGCTCGAGCTTCGACATCAGAACACCGCCTAACGCCGTGTATAGCACTAAGATGGCTAGCACCAAAAAAGCAGGAATTCTGAAAAAGGTACGATTATGAAGAATCTGCTATGGAATTCAGCTTTCTTCTTAGAAGTGTCTTTGAGAAAAAAAAGCCGTGGATCTTTCATTACTGTGATTTTTAACGCAATTGAAACAACGTGAGTTATATATGAGTCATACGAGTACTTTGGGCTATTAATTGTCAGAAAAATTAGCCTTATTCTACAGTAAATACCACCAACCGAAATAAGCACCCTTAGAGCATTGCAGATGTTGGTCAATGACACAACGACATTTGATTACTCTACCGTGACGAAATTCCGACTGATTTTTTGAGGCGGCTCATTCTTGCACCGTCTTCTTTCGTCAAAATTCCTATTTCAATAACGAAGTGGCTAGGGGAGTTTGGTTTACCACAATTCTACGGTGCTTGGGAATGCACTATTGGCGTTTGGAAGTGTCGTGCTCGTGTTGTGCATTTCAAAAAATTTGAATTTTCTGATTTTTTGAATTTTTTGATTTTGTGAATTTTTTCTTGAAAATTTTAGTTATAAACAAGTTTGAAGTAGAAAATGCTTAGAAGAAATTAAATATAGCGTTGCGGTAATGGAAAGCTCGTTTTTTAACCACAACAATGCTGAGATATTCGCAAAACATGGACCCCGGGCCAGATCAAACCACGCTTATGCTTTCCGGAGGCTCGCATATTGCACTGCACCACTGAGGCCCTTGCTTTTTGTTTCGAATACAGCCTCAGTTTAACTAGGTTCAATGCTGATTTGTGCTCCCCAGATCAATCCCACTGACGGGTTATCGATGATGGCAGCGTTTGGCAGAAAACAAGCTGAGTGAAACGCAAAGCAAGGTCATAAGTGGTGCAGTGTGTAATACGCGAGATCCTGGAAAGCGTAATCGTGGTTCGATCTGCCCAGGGGTCCAAGTTTTACGAATATATCAGTATCGTCGTGTATTTAACAGTCAGTTCTATAGATTTGCCAAAACTTGGAATTTTCAAATATTTTGTTGTATGGGAATTACTGGAAGTTATCGGAATACCAGCATTTCCTCAAATGTGTCAAGGAAATGGGGAACTTTTATAGTAGAAATGAAGAATTCAAACTTGGCAACATCATTTCTTTAGTCTTCCAAGCCTCTGGTTCTTCATGTCTTCGCTTAGTATCGATTTATCCCCCATTTATTCGTTAATGAAAATAGTGGTACTAATTAAAATAGTAACTGTATGGTGACATCACGAGCGCGCTTAGCGAAGTGGTCGGGGTGCCCTGTAGTTTACAAGTGGATCTGGGTCGTTAGTTCGACCCTGTGCTTCTGAGCAACCACACACTCCCATTTCTCTGGGAGCATCGAATTTGGAGCAGCATGGTCTGGGAGAATAAAAACGCTGATTTGACAAATCGGTAGATTACGGCAGACTCAGTATATAAGCTAAATACACATTAAGTCACTTCTACCTTGCTCTATGAAGCCAAATGCATTCCTCGGGTAGTGATTAAAGCTTTAGTGATTCTCCCTATTATGAGACAAAAAGAATCACTACTGACGTATACGAATCTTAAGCCGAAAAACCTTAAATTGAGGCAGATAGGCAACGAGCTTCACAGACGGTTGACCAATCCGCAGCAACCGTCTCGAATTGTTGGCCCTCACCTGTGCTCCTCGATTACATGCATATTATGGCCTATTCCGTGTCGTTGGCAATGCTCGCACACATGTTCCCGGCGTTCCTTTCGACCGCTTCTTCGTACGAATAGAAAATGCTTCATCTTCAGGTAGTTGCCATACATCCACACCAAATGTTCAGACAAGAATTTACCTATAACCATGTGTCAAGTTACACTTCCTTATAAAATAGCTAAATCTGATAAAGAAGATTTGAAGTACTATTGATCAACAGAACTACCGAGATCAGCAATTGTAACGAGCGTTAGTGGAATTCCAAACAATGAAAACATAATACATACAATCCTTCCCACGTTAGTAACCGGCACCGGATTACCGTAACCTTAACAATTGTCCTGTTTTCTGTAAGGTAATTTATTCGGGAAATGCATCTGGCAAGAAAAAATTGCACAGAAGTTTCTAAGAATGGGAAACGTCTACTCAACTAACCGATTGTTGTTACAACAGTGACTGCGAAAAATATGGCAGTGGAAAATGACCAGATTTCCGCCGTAGTATTCTTTTTAACCTAAAATTTCATTTTATTTCAAGACAAAGTTCTATCTCAGATCTCCATTGCATAGAAATCACATGCTTTACACTTTGACCTTTGAGGCACTAAAAAGCTGTGCTTTCCTAAGCTGAAAAGCAGAAATCGAAATCATTTTAACAGGTAGAATCACACTGGCATTTAATGACACACTTAGACACTTATGGCACGACATCGAATAAAGAAGCTAGGCGAACCTCGGTGCTGGTGAGGAAGTACTTCTCAAATGCGACAAACAACTGGTCGGACATATTGTGCAGGTGCTGTTGTGCTATCAACTCCCACTCGCTTCGTCCTTAATTGCCAAGCTGTATTTAATAATCAAATAGTCACTCAACCGATCGTCTGCCCTTAGAAACAAATACAGCTTAGCACCAAAAATAGAGAAAGGCATAGAAGACGAATAACTAATAAAACTGGAGTAGTAAAAGTTATTTTCTCATGCAGAGATTTGTTTGTGATTGTACCCAGTGACGTTGACTTTTATCCGACCATGTTTGGCATTCTGCGGCTCTTAATAATTTTTCAAGTTTATAAATATTGTCTACCGCTTTTAGGTTAGCCCAATGAAACACGTTGGCGATTTCATTTTGGCAAGAAAGACTTGTTCATCTACAGTTTTGATTAGTTTCCGCCGACAACATGGGCATTAAACTCCATTCTCTACTACTGTAGATATACGCAGCCAAGGACAAATTTTTGGCCACATTACGTCAGGCTGCTTCGAAAAGCGATAGAAGCTTTGCCGGGCAGACAGCGAAAGCAATACACTTGAGAGTGGACAGGGTCTGGTTTACTCATTGGACACTTCGGGGTGCTTTACGCAAGAGTTCGCCTTACAATCCACGAGTGCACCTCTCTGGATCAACTGGAAGATGCTGTTAGCGGAAAACTTTCTATAGACTATTAGAAATGGCATTCATCCTGAATATTCCGAAAATTATCGCACTGTTATCGGGAGAAACTTGAATACATAAGCATTTTCGTTCTGACATTCTGTAATCCAGAGAGAAAATATAACTCATATAGTGCCTTGTGGTTCTCCTTTAGAACAACGGCGAAGCACTGTTGTCAAAATCCGTGGCATCGCCGACCTTTCTAATTGCCCTATGAAATATCCAGCTGGTTCATGTAGAATCTCTCGATCTTATATTCTTTAAAATCGTATGTTGAGGCCTAGGAAACAAAAGCTTCCATGATCCGTTGATTCATGTTTTCTCGAGTCGTGTAAGTAATTAATTATTAAAAAAAGCGATGTTTAGGTTTAAGGTAGTGCTGATGATAACATCGTCTCAATCAACTCAATAATGTGGGATGTACTGAAGAATATTCTTCTCCATAAACGTTTCCTAAAGCGCAGAGCCGCTTCGTCTCGGTCGTTGTGGTCACGTTGTACTTGTTTTTCCTCAGCATGCATCAACATTTAGTTTGTAGAAACACCCGGACACAATTGGTTGTGCGTTGTAAGTAGAGATATTTAGCAGAATCCTTGCAAATTATAGAGTCCTATGAAAGCGCTGAAACTAGCAGTTTCTCTTTATTCGTTTCAGCCAAGGCTACAATGTTATATAGTTTTCGGCATCATAGAAGTGAAGTTCTCCGATAGGTTCCCTACAACGCAGGGTTTCCAGTAATTTCTGATAATTTGTCCATAAATACACTTGGTGAGAAAATAAGAACTTGATGGATACGGTAATTTTTAAGGCATTTTCCTTATTTTAAATTTACATAGCATTCGAACAATCAAAAATTCACAATGTTGAAGTTCTCAAGTTTTTAACGCAAACGCCTTCTTTGAAAACTTTAACTCTAAATTTCGTGACACCATCGTGTCTCCCTGCAAGACATACCACTTGTTCCATCGAACCGTTATTTAAAACATCATCATCGATGAGAACAAAAAAAGCGAAAAACTTGTCTATAGATAGGCTTTAGAGAATTAGAATTTATCCTGGTGAAATAAGAAAACTTCGCTGCCGAAAGTCTGTAAATGCTGCTGGTTTCGATTTCAGTTAAGAAGTCCACTATGAACTTATCTCTTATGGCTAGGGATCTGTATACATAACAGCCTTTATTGCACTCCATCTTACTCACTACTCCCAACGGTTTATTGCCTCATCGTGGCTAGGAGGTGTTCCTGGATGTCGGTCTGCGATGTCAGCGGGGGTATTCATCTCCTCGGTGGACTTCCAGTGTGGACTTCTAAATGCCTCCCAGCTGCTTATCGCCTCATCGTGGCTGGGAGGTGTTGCTGGGTGTCGGACTGCGATGTTGAACAGCGAAGGATTCACTCCGTGGTACAGTCCCTCAAGCTGAGGAGTCCGGCGTTTCCATCAGTAAGCCTAGCTAAGAGTAAACCAATACCAAGATCCACCGTCCTGATATCAAAGTCTCATGGTGGTAAATCTCCTTCTGATCCACAAGGGCTGCGACTGCCCGTGGTAGTGGGGCAGACTTTGGCCAGACTGACCTCTGGATTCCAGGAAACACCACAATGGCTTAACTAGCAAATTTCCGAAAAATGGTGATTATGCTGGGACCTGCACAACCAGTGAGGACGGGCCGCTCAAGTATCAAGTGTCAAGTAAGTATCTTTTACTCACTATGAGATGAGATATGTCTGCTTAAAGTCGAGAAAATAAATCACTTTCCTCTTTGCCAGTAAGAAACAAGTTTCTAGTTCAGCCAGGATTGTCTCATTTCGTAGTGGCAATTTTCGGGAGCTCGTATTTCGAACAGCAGAGCTTGAAGTACTGACCGAACGGGATATCAACGAGATTTGGTCCAGTGAAACATAACGCTGTCAGCGAGCATTAAATTCGTATAGATTCAAAATTTTATTGCTCACTAACCAACCACTACCATTTTCGTCACAATTTTCGAAAGTTTGAATGGCTTCTATGATTTCCTGAGATTTCACCAAGGACAGTACATAAGATTTTGTGCAGAAAAGCAAATCGTTACATTCACTCAACCGGTTGCTTTGCCTTTTTTATTTTCTCTCTTTCCTTTTCTTTTTTAGACAAAGTAGGGAATAAAATTGGTGAAAAATAGGCAAAATACTAATCAAGTCACTGTACTAGTTATGAAATCAATACGGAGGAAAAGGGACCTGTACGGTTGGCAGAGGCAAGTCGAACGAGATTGTCGACGAATTCGTCGTGTTGTGTGTAGATCAGTTTCAACTGAAATCAAAGTCACCATATCATAGATATCGTTACTCGAGCATTCTTAAGTTGAAGCATGAGTCATTCTCAGGTCTTGAGAATTTTGCGAATGAAAGCGCATTTTTACAGATCGTCACGCCCTCCCCCCACATGTGAAAACACGTTTTACCAAAGAGAGAGAATATTCAAGAATTTACTCTACAATCACGGCAACGTATTCACAAACAATAACTAAAATTTCTTGTAGAGAACAAAGAGAAATCACTTACTTGGTGCTGCTTCGTCTTCATTTCGTGTGGTTGCTCAACAGTATAGAAAATCGACGCCCCAAGTACAGTGTAGGCACAGGTGAGCAAGACGAGCGCCACATGAGGCAGAATCAGCTTCGCGTACTGAAACTCCTTCACTTTCAACACGACCAACGTTCACAAAAGCAAAAAGGAATGTAATGCAAAGGTGCAACTAAGATGTTTATTTGGAAAAGAATAAAATAACTTTGGCGTTATAAAATACAGCAAGACGTTTGAAGAAAGCAGATATTCTGAACTAGTCATTCCTGCGCTCGACGCTTGAGACCATGCTCCATCACTCTAGAACTGCCTTCGCTTTATTCTCATTTCTGTTAACCACTTTTAGCATTATATCTGTGTAGTATTCAAAAGTTTAAAAACAGAAACAATTCTCAGAAAAGAAGTTAGAATTTCTTTATTCATAAATTTTTTATAATTTTGGTATAACTTCTATAAGGCTGGGATATTTGCAAAACACCGGACCGCAGGTGTCTGCGGTGGGAAACGATAAATTCTTAATCACTTCTCTCCTTGAGTTTTGTTTCCTTTTTATCACTTTGTTGCCCCGCACTCACCATCCACGAAAGCCCCGGATTTGAAAGGGTTCTGTTGATGTTTGTGAATAGTGTCCTTATAAATGTCGCTGAATATTGATCGGTTTGATTCTTCATGTAATGATTGAATAGCTCTCCAAAAATGTTCCCAGGTCATCATTACAGGCAGTCGCAGCCCCTTCTGGATCGAATATGCCTCTTCCTAGGCGAAGTCTGGCACCAATTTTCTGATTTGGGAAGAATGGGAGAGCTGGTTAACCTAAGGCGGGGGTTGAGTAAGCGATCATGTGTATAACCTCTGTGGTGCTCAATGGAGTCGAATGCATTGTGCGTCGCTTAGGGAGTGATCAAAGCTGTGTGCTTGTACACTTTATCCCCTTATTGCGGTATCTACTTCAAGAACAATAGCGGTGACGTTCAAAAAAGGCGGATCTTAAACGGAATCGAACGCTAGCCAATCTTTTCCAATATTCTTTCGTGGGAGTTTCAAAGCTAGTTTACTCCATTTAGATAGCCATGCAATACGCCTGATATCACCTACAAGGTCAGATGGGAAAAATAACGCTCTGGAAAGCTTCTATGTGAGAAAATTAGAAGCTTAGTAAACAATGTATAGAAGCGACACAAACTAGCTAGGATTAGACGGAAAATGATATCACGAGGATAAGAATATTATAAAGAATGCGACACGTCAATCCTTTCTCGATATACAACCAAAATAATGCTGAGATACTTGCAAAACTCCAGACCGTAGGTGCCTGCGGTGGGGAACGAACGCGCTATTGTCCTTTCCAGCGGCTAACACGTTTACCACCACACCACGACCTTCGTGTCGCCCTGCTGTAGCTATGGCACTGATCAATGGAACTAGCTGAAAAACAGACAGAACGAAGGACCCATATGGTGTGGTGATGAACGCGTTAACCTCGTAAAAGGTAATAGCACGTTCGCTCCCCACTGTAGACACCTGCGGTCCGGAGTGTTGCAAATATCTCAGCAACCTTAACCCTTTTATTTACTGCCTTTTTTCTTTTTAATGGCAGGGTATGTTGCGAAATATAACTCGTCCGGAGTTTTGCAAATATCACAGCATTATATACGAGTTGTATCTCAGCAACGTTGTGGATGTATATCGCATCATACGCTGCCGTTAAAAATTATAGCAGGCAGCAAATGAAAAAGTGAGCACCTTCTTCCCTAAATCATAAAATGAAATCCTACTTCTAGAACTTGGGTTTAAATATTTTTCTAAGTCTCACTCTTCCATGCTTTGCATGTTTTGGTCGTTTTGCAAAAACTGAGGTCCCTAAAGGAATGAGCTATATCGTTACTCGCTCTTGAACAATTAAATTTTAGCACTATGACGAAGGAATGAAGATCAAAGCTAAAACTATCACTACAGATCCTGAAAAACAGTCTGAAAGCGGAGATCTAGTGGAAAGCAATTCGAAACATATTTAGCATACGAAAAGTATTTCCCTAAAAGCTACTTCAAAATCATTTCAGGAGATTTCCCTTACGATCAGGTAGTTAAAACACATTTATTGAATAAGTGTCTTCTGTATAGAAAGTAATATTCGTGTGTATTTTATCTTCTGGACTTCATGGACGAGAAGCTGTTTACAATATGGAATGAAACACTGAAGTCGATCATTGAGAAAATACTACGGTCAAGCACTGTGTTGAACCTCACAAATAGTAACTACTGCAAGGTTTAAGGGTACACCCTAGTTCACTTTAGAGGAACTCTTTTTCTCCATAGTTTTACATAATTACTGCCAATAGTTTATTGCCTTATCGTGGTTCATCGTTGTTTTCCAGGGTGTCGATGTACAAGCTGTGCCTATAGTCAGTAGAAGTGGAAGGAGTACGACATTTTCCTTCACAAACCCAACTATGAGTAAATCAATGCCATAAATAATCATCGTCTTTGGTAGAAAATTTTTCCATCGGAACTACAAGCGCTGGTGACTGTGCGTGGGAACGACACCATAAAACCGTAAAATAACAATGACTAACACTAGTAATAAGTGAGCCCACAGAAAGGATAACCGCGCGTTCGAATCAGGCCTATGGTCTCGGTCCGATTTTTGCAAATATCTCAGCATCACTGTGGTTGTATTTCGCATAACACTCTGCTATGAAAAAAAACTTACTTCCTTGGTTGGATACTAGGTGTTCTCTGGCTGTGCGGGTCCAAGCACAATTTCCATTTTTTCGGAGTTTTGCTGGTTTAGTTATTGTGGTTCCCTGGAGCCTCGAGGTCATTCTGGTCGAAGTCTGCTCCAGGTCGTCATCACCACAGACAGTCGTCGCTCCTATGGACCAGAGGAAGATCTGCCACCGGGCAATTAGTTTGATACCAGGATGGGAACGGATCATGATATTGGTTTTCTCTTAGCTGGACTTCCTGATGAAAACACTGAACTCATTCTCAGCTAGGGAGGCCCTCCCAGGGTGATAATCTCTCCGCTATACATCGCAGCCCGACACCCAAGAACACCTCCCAGCCAGGATGAGGCGATAAACCCTTAGAAGAAACACTGATATTGATATAATAAAAAAATAGGCAGTAAATAAAAATGTGCACTAAGATGACTATCATGAAACTCCAGGGAAAAAATCTTGTGCAACCATTGAGTTAGGTGTAAAATTAAAGTTCTGCTGGAGGTCGCACGATTGTTCTTAAAGAAGGTCAATTCAATCATCCTAGTAAGCATTATACAAATCCGGTCCTTCAAATACCATTTGTAAACTTTTTGCTTCAATTCGTTACATACAAATCCTTAGTCTGTGAACCAGAGCTAAGGTTAAAAAGAAAATCGAAAGCCAAGTCGATTTTCACAGCGAGTTATCGGCTACGTCACTGTCTCGAGTGCATATATTGGTCTGGGAGTTCCATATGGAAAGTTTCACGTAAAAACTACGAGACAGTCTTCTCTGAAGTCGATAACAATTCTTTTTAATAAACGAAAGAGAACACACCTTTTTGGCCTTTCCATGTTCCTCTTCCTCCTCTTCTTCCTCTTCTTCTACGCCCTTTGAGTCTTCACTCTGATCCGTATCGGAATGGCCGACGATCTACAAAAAAATCTCACTACATATTTTCTCATACTGAGCTAAAAGGCTATGTAGTGCCCCTGTCTCCAAACTCTATCATTCAATATTTCTCCCTAGTATTTCTGCGAAAAAATGGGAGAGAGCGGATCTTCAATTGTGCTATAAATTTTAAGAGTAAAATTGGTACAATTTCATCCAAGATCGCAATTTCGACGAAAAAATACCGAATGAAAATAACTGAAGTTCTGGCAAATTAGTTTCTAATTTAATCCCGCGCACTGGCCTCATCATGCCCTTCGTGGCTCAGCTCCTAATCCACCAAAACAAATTGGTGAATGGCGCTTTTCGGCAATTTGTCCGGAATATTTTGTACTCCATAGTAGTAGCACATATTGATTAACGGACTGAAGGATGGCCATGCGACGACGGTCGTCATCGCAAGGATTCTCCATTACTTCCTTCTCAACCCCACCTTACCTGTCTTACTTAACTATGTTGTAAATGTTTGAACAGGAAATGTTGTAAAGTTGGCAAGCATGGCAGGCCATTAAGTAAAAGCTATGCTAGTAATGTCCGGAAATAAGTTGGGATTTTCCTGCCGATGATACAGATTTTTTTTTCTTTGAAAGTGATTGCAGAACGAGAACAGGGACTTTGGGCGAGATTATTCCGACATTTTCTTCACCAGCAACAGTCGTCATAAATAAAATGCGGAAATTGAGTCCGACGATGATTTCCGTTGACTCTTTGCCGCGTTTGGTCTTTAATAATAACTCTAGTATCTCAATAAATACTGGATTTCTTTAACACGTATTGCCCGATGCCCTATTCCGCTTAGCTGCTGCGTCGGACGACGCTTAATTTTAAGTTGGTTACGGGCTTGGTATAACTCGTCCGTCTCGTGAGACACATCGCCATGAGCACATAATGAACGATGCTAGTTTCTCAACAATAGGCGATAGCTTTCCGATAATTAGAGGAGACTATGGGAATATAAAACTTTTTCGATATTTAAAAGATTTGTGGACGAGAACTCGATCCATCGCTCTAAAGACACGCTTAGTTCTGCATTAATTTTATTAGCCAGAAAATAACTTCTACGGTCCTGAATTATATCGACAGATGAAGAGAGCATCGGTCGGCTCCTCACTGAAGATAATACTGAAAAAGTTGAGAAAATGGCAGAAACCCCTGCGCTCTCAACTGAAATGTTTGAGGAAAGTGGTCCGCAGAAATAAGACGAATGTATTGATGACGAATACAGCCGTGCATGTTTTGCTAATGTACTGCCTCACAACCACTAAGCCTTGGCTGGCAGCGAGTCTCAATTGGGGCAACTTTTGCTTCGCTGCATATCTTCATGAACTATTTATGGCCAATATTTTGAAGCACGTTGTGATCAAGACGAACAGATTTACAGTGCAGAAAGATCTTACTGGAATCAGTAGTTGTCGAAAATACGAAAAAATTCCTTGGTCTCTGGCGTAGAATTAGGAATACTCCAATGTAATAAGTGCGGTTATTGGAGTTCCAATTCTACCCTTCCAAGACGTCCTACTGCTACCCATAGGAGTAATGATAAAAGGTAGATTTGAAAGCCTGTTGGCAAACCTCCGTTTTGCTGACATCGCAACAGATGACGGACGAGACATTGTGCAACGTTAGACAACTAGTCGAACTTATAAACTGAAAAATAATAGAAAATCAGTAGTTGGAAGATACGAGTGTGCTGACGAGTCCTGTTCTGCTTAGAGAGATCGTAGCCCTTCACCGGTATATCTTACATAGAAGGAAAAAATACGTACTCGTTTTCTGTGCAGTAGAGGTGATTGCACTTATGAATTTGAAGTATCCTCCGCAATACCGTGAAACGTGTCTCAGATGAGATGAGAATTGTGTACAATTTCCTGGGTCAAAGTTTTTTCCCGTGTAAAACATAGTTCAGAGAAGGACCGACTACCAGCAACTGCGGGAAGAACCGGAAACAAGCAAAATAAGCCACCAAGAAGAAATTATCTTAAGATCCAATCAATTCGTTCATTTTTGCTCACATGAGCCTCAGTGCATTTCGGGCGTTATCCGTCGACAAGGATTTCTGCAGAATTAGGGACTATGTCTTCCTATGTCCTAATTTTTGTTTACTGCGTTTTCTCTTTTCGTATAGATTATTATGTGCGATGCAACCAGAGGGATGCAGAAATATCATTCGTCAACTGGGACGTTGCTGATAACACCAATGGAGCAAAAATATAGCTAACAGAAAGAGAAAGCAAGGGTCTCGGTTGGTGTACTGGGTAGCACGTGTGCACTGGTGAAGACAATTGCGGTCTCGAGGTCCATATAGATTTTAAGTTTTGCTCGTAACTAACTCATCGTTATGTCATCCTATATTTCTAATTCAGTGCTGCCAATGCTGACAACTCGAAAGTGAACCCAGGAGAGAAGAAGTACTTAGCAAACTAGATTCAAAGCTAACAGTAAAGTTTTCGACAATATTTCACACGGTACCACGATTTTCTACACCTTGGATTCTGCTCACAATGATATCCTCTTAAATTGTACAGTGCTTAACCTCACACTTAAACTCTTATACGATCCTTCATCTCATTTCATCATATTTAGTTTCCCTTGAACTTTGAAAGAGTCATAATAATAGTCAGCAGCCCCTTTGTTCCAATAGTTTCCGAAGAAGGCTACTCCCGACGAAATAGCTGTCAAAGTCACTCATCGGTTTGTCGTCGGAACACCAGCATTTGATGAATTAAACGCTGAGTCAATTTAAGAAGTTTCGTCTCGCCTTCTTTGACAATTATACTTAGACTATGAAGCAGCTTTTTTTATCAGTTTGGATCTTCGACTTTTACAGCTTAATTTATATCCTAAGTGTCATAATTGCGATAAATGATATGCCACTTTAATAAAAGATAGAAGGACAATTGATGAGACTACCTTGTCGTGACAGGAATGCAGCAGTTGGTTGGTTTCGTGGGCTTCGGAATACCCGCCACGAGCCACCGATGAACCGAACAGTGCTTCCTGAAAAGCTGACAATTAGTGAGGAAAACATTGTTCCTCTCACCTAGAATTTTGAGTAAGATCGACCTGAAAATCAAAATCAAGGAATTCTTGTTTCGACAGGATTGATATAGCTCTCAGTAAAATGACATCGGCTTAAACTCATTTAGTTTCAATTGCCAGTAAATTTTTTTTATTTTTTATTCTTTATATCCGTCTTAACGTTTACTGTGTGGAACCAAGCACTTCTCACATTCGATTCGTTTTCTCGCATTCGTTGTCCACGAAGAACTTCCAACTTTTAAGTGTGGCTTCGGTTGCTGCTTGCGGATTTTCATTCCATCTTGAATGTCGTAGAATGCCGCTAGAGCAATTTTCCTCGGAGTCCTGAGATAGCCGAGCTGGAGCGTTCCCAAATAGATTGCAAAGAGTTTTTTTTCCGGACAAGTCCGGTACCAATTTCCCGACTCCAGAGGGATTAGAGGATTGGTTGGCTCGGAACGGAATCGAACTACCACCATGCTTGTGATGGCGGACATCATTACCACTGAGCTATCCACCCCTGTTGATATAATTATAATGTTCTCGAATGCAGTTCTTGGAAGACGCGAATTTTCCTCTGTCTATAGATGTGTTGTAAGAAATTAGAAAAAGATAGTACATGTTAAAATAGTAATTTTTTTTAGTGATGTAAATAATCCACTTATCCTCGAGAAATTGATAGGATATTTCTTTGCAAGATCGGCTAAATCGGTTAACACGAGCCATTGGTATTACGGAGATTCAGGATCTTAGTTTCCCATTTACTTTGGTTTTATCTGCGTTAGAGGACCAACAACCGTCGACCCAACAACAATCGTAATCAACGAAACATTAGAGTCTAGAAAAAAGTTCGACTTAAAAGTAAATCAGCTGAAGTTCAGAATCACCTGTACATGATTTGTAGTTAAGGTCATTTCGCTATAGAATGCAGCTAGCGTTGTGAGAGACAAGGTGAAAATCGCCACAATGAAGGTGGGAGGAAGACCAGGGCGTTACGGAGAGGTGTTTTTCTTTAGGATGAGGTGTGGGAAGAGAGAGGGGCTGGGAAGTATGCGACAGACAAGCTTCGTAGTTAGAATCTGCTCTGCCATTAGTTCAGCACTCTTTCCCTTATGGTTTTCCCATTGATGTTGAGTAACTTGAAAGAGGTAGCTTATACATTATTACAACTTGTTGTGTTCACTCGTTGATGAGCTTGTTTAAGAAATATTTTCAGGCATAAATTGCTCCAGTCGGTTAATCGATGGAGATATTTCCAGCAGTTATCGTGTGCTATCTAATGATTAGGAATGTTAAAGACAAAATTTATCTCAATTCGTGTAGACTTTTCCCTCCACATTTGAAGAGATTGAGGCCATCAGTAGAAAAACGTCTGGACAACATTCATTCATCTGCATTTGTCACTAGCAGTACATGTGCAAATGAGTTCACTATAGGAAAAGGAGGACTCAGTTATGGAAGGTTGGTTTCATCTTTATCTTTCAACTCAGTCATACAATTTATCATACGAATTGTTGACCTCGCTCTTGTACGAAATTACACAGTTTACACAGTAACCTGGATTTGGTTTTCGAACTAGAGCCGCAGATTTTTATGAAACCATTTGAGCTTCAACCCTTCACTCTTATATCCTTACTTAGCCTCTGGATCTTTTAATAGCCTTTGTGATTCTTTAACAGCCCCATCAAAACAGTTTTTGCTAAAAGACGCCTTCCTTCACCGAAAATTCCATGGCTCATCGGCGAACCGTTGAAAAATTTGGGGCAACCGCTGCGCTAATTTTGTTCCTAAACTAACATTTTAAACAGTGCTGCCATTACCAGTATTATATATTCGGACGACGGCGTCAAATATAGAAGACAAAAATAAACAAGCACAAGAAACCTAAAGGAGAGATTGCTGACTGGAATTTGGTGTACTTCAATAATTCGTTTTTCCATGCACCTGCTTGGCATATCGAGGACCGTGTGGTTGTAGAACGTTCAAAAAAACCCATTTAGTCAAGTGAAGCTGGAAATGTATTGGAAAACTCGTCCATATGTGTGAACGAGCTCCGAGCACCTGCACATAAAAAGCTAAAAAAGCCTTCAATCCCGAGTGATGTGCCATGCAGTTGACTTCATTTAGTATTGTTAGAGGTGAATACATAGCTAGCCTATATAATGGCTCACAGAGGTCTAAGATATATCGAGTCAGTGCTGCTATTTTCCCAGACAAGTCTGGTATCAATATGCCGACTCCAGAGGAATAGAAGGCTTAGTGAGACTGGGGAGCGGGATCAATCCCTAGTGTGTTGCAGGGCGCCTCTAATTACTGCGCTTTACGCACCCTTAGACATGTTGGCATATTATTTTAAAAATAGTAAAGACCTTAAAAGCATAAGTGTTTTCTAGAAATTTGTACAGCGGAACCTTCAGATATTACAGGTGGCCAACACCGCCCAGATCAGACCTTATTGGTCTTCGACAAAGACTACGCCATGCCCTCCCTGCTTGAAGCCGAAGCAAGCAAAGAGACGCAAAGTCTATGCTACATCAACCAATCACGGCTTAAACCTGTAATGCTTTCTTAGCAAGAATTATCTGTGCATTACTTACGCGTCGTTGTCGTCGATGAAATGTTTCAGGAATCTCACAGAGATGATCCTCCAGTTCCTGGCGTTCGATTTCATCAAAACTGTTCTCTTCCAGATCTATTCCAAGATTATAGTTTGAACCTAAAATGAAGCTCATGTTGAAAGATCCGATTTTTAGCACTTGGATAAGACTTCCTAAGAATAGTTTGCAGATATAGCATGACTCTGAGGAAACGCGAATTAATTGTGGTTTAGAGAGTGACAGCGGACTAGCTGAAATACAAGCAAAACGAAGGACCCGGATGGTGTGGTGGTGAAGTGCGCTACTCCCCGGAAAGGACAATAGCGCTCGTCCGTTTCCCACCACATACACCTGCGGTCCCGGATTTATGTGTTTCTCGTTGCTTGTAGCCTCACCTTGGTAAGCACGTGTTTTTGAGTGTTGAACCTGTTTGAGGAGTTCGTAACTGTGAATGACTACAACCTTTCTACCCAGAAGCTTGTACATGAGTAATTCAATGCCGTTAATCTCTACCATAGTGCAGAAGACTTACTCGCAAGGTCGCAAACCTCATTTCTATTCATCAACGCTACCTGGATGGTTACCTGGGAATGGCCAGCAAAGCATTCTCGGAACTCCAGGAATAAATCTCTACGAACCAACCAATCAAAAAAAAAATAGCGCTGCGCTTTTCCCGATTTTTTTTCACGAAAACGACTAGTTCATCAAAAGAAAGAAACTATTTTTAATGGTAGTCTCGGCTGAAGCTGTGAAATTGTCACTATGGATTAACTTGGAATGAAATCATAACCAGCGTGAGTTCCGTGCAACAAAATGTTGCTCCATCCAGTGACATAAGTCTGCTGCCATCGACAGTAATCACGCGAAAGCTACTCATTTATTTTAGATAAAGACCTTGCTAGACAACAATAACAGAGCAAAGTGAGTCAAATTAGGTCAAATTTGCATATCGCTTCCTATTTTGCTTTCCACTTCCTTCATCTTTCACCTGTGCCGAGCTAAGTTTGCTAAGTCGAGGTTACCACCGCGCTTTGCATGGCGCCATAAAGCAGTTAAAGGCGAAAGCGAAAAAGAATGGACCTACTTTCATAATCCCAGAAGAGCCAGCGTTCAATAAAACAAAAATAGATAGGTTACTGAAGTGTAAGGTTCTTTATGGTGCTTATAGAACTTAGGCGCCCTAATTGCAGCACCCGAAGCTCAAAAAAGGAATTGGTGATACAGCTTAAAAAAATCGCTTAAGTACCTTAGAGTGTAAAAGGAACTCCAGAGAAAAGAACAATGCTTAAAGATACCAAGTACCAAACGGCATGTGTATATCAATGAAGGAATGTTCATCAGGATATATGAAAGTAGAAAAATGTGCAAAGTTAACGTCTCCGTCAACATAGGTTTAATCACAGACGTCGAACACTGAGTGAACCATATAGGAGCACTTACTTAATACTTGATACTTGAATGGTCTGTCCTCACTGGTTGTGCGGGCCTCATAATAATCTCCACTTTTCGGAGATTTGCTGGTTAAGCTGCCGCGATTCCCTGGAATCCCGAGGTCAGCCTGGCCAAAAGTCTGTCCCAGGTCTTCACCACCACGAGCAGTCGTAGCCGTTGTGGGTCAAAGGGAGATTTGCCACCATGCGACTTTGATACCTGGACGGTAAGGGATTTTGGCACTGGTTACCAGGACCAGTTGTTATTATGGGACCACTAAGGTTGAAATAGTGGGAACCACTGATGGGCTTGGTAGTTTTCATAGATTAACTCGCAGCTTCTATTACACTGAGCCTACTTTAGCGACAAGGACTGTATGAAAACGTCTGAACAACCTTATACTAGGAATCATAGGCTGTAGTGGAAGGGATATGGTGAGAAACTGGTAGATTTCTACACTTCTTTTTATTGATGAAGAGCACAACTGCATCTTCCATCACAATGATATTACGAGTGTCGGAAATCCTTCAGCTTAGATCTAAACCTTCAAAAGTCCGCAGCAAATCCATAGGAGTAAATTTCAAAGACAGAAGTGGAGCAGTATTGACTGAAGATGCATAGTTGGAAAGAGCGTCCACAACGCCCATCGGGACCTCGTCAATTGCATCAACAAGGTTACCGCTCGTCGGCGAAGAAATCTGCAAGTGCAGTCCCTACGGAATCAAATTCAGACAATTGGAGAACATACCACCAATTCTATTCAACTAACCAATTCATTGAAATAATGCGAGAATACAGGATGGCGCTTTATTTTTGATCACTTCAACAGACATAACGAAAGCTTTTGATTTTCCAAAAACGACTCTGATTTGACTGTCTTTTTTATACTCAAACTTTAGTTTCAACTTAACCACAACTTTTACAAGTTGGTTATAAAACCTCATTCTGCTAACGTTTCGGTGACTTCATCTTCATATCAGAGCCTAGATGTTTCAAGCCAATCATTCACAACCGTTCGTCGTCGCGATATGGCCCTTAGCAGTGGCATCAAAAAAACCAGTCCCGCACCACTTCGATGACCAAACACCAGGGCTTGTGACACATTCGCCAAGGTGAGTGGGCTCACCAATTAGGTAAAACACGTGACGTTTCTTAATACTTGCGACGTTACCTCTAACGGAATAGTAGAATACAACCAAAATGATGCTGGAATATTCGCAGAACTTAGACCCCAAGCCAGATCAAACCACGATTACCCTTTCCGGAGGTTCGCGTGCTGGGCACTGCACCACTGATCCCTTTCACCATAACACCTTGCTTTGAAAAATTACGGAAGGCAATTAGTTATAAGGGGTAATTTAATAGCAGAATAATTTTTTTTAGGAAAAGCAATGGCAGGTGTGACCTCTGTAGAGGTAATTTTGTTTTCGGTGGTTTATTTTTTCGCAGAGACTCGTTTTCCAACACTTCCTGCAATCAGGTGATAGCTTGTCCAGCTCCAATGTTGTGGCACGCGTCAACCGGGGAATGCTCCGCTCAGCACTTCGGAACACACAAAACTTTTTTCCTGGGCAAAAACTGCAAAACACGTCGAAATCTTGAAGGCAATGTGTTTGTATAATGAACTATAGTGACACAGCAAATAGTAACTCCTACGACCGACTTTCTATTAGCTTCTGTATTGATCGAACAATTCTTTATATTCTTGTTTAGCAAAGAGGAGTTATTATTTCTATTTATGCACAAGCTGACGTTTCGGAGGATTTCGCCTTCCTCAGAGCCTGGAAAAGTCAAGTAGACCACAATCTACCCAGCCAAACACCTCCATAATCAGACAGAGAAGATGCTAAAGCAAGATTTCAATCACATTAAACACAGAATAGCTTCTTTGCACATTCGCCCCTTTCTATGAGTCTTCACGCTCATAAAGACTGGCTGAGAGTGGAAGACTCACAAAAGCGATGAGCGTGCAAAGAAGCCAGTCATTCTGTGTTCAATGTGATTGAAATCTTGCTTTAGCATCTTCTCTGTTTGATTGTGGTGGTGTTTGGCTGGGTAGATTGCGGTCTACTTGACTTTTCCAGGCTCTGAGGAAGGCGAAATCCTCCGAAACGTCAGCTTGTGCATAAATAAAGAAATAATGACACTTTGTCTTGACCATTTTATTTACTGCCTACTCTTTTTAATAGCAGGGTGTATTGCGAAATATAACTTCAGTGATGCTGAGTTATTTGCAAAACTCAGGACCACAGGTGTCTGCGGAGGGGAACGAACGTGCTATTGTCCTTTCCGGGGAGTAACGAGTTAACCACCGCACCATGCAGGTCCTTCGTTTCACCTGTCTCTCAGCTACAGCATCACTGGAGTTATATTTCGCAATATACCCTGCCATTAAAAAAAGAGTAGGCAGTAAATAAAACGGTTAAGATTGTGATTATAACTAAAGCCTCAGCTTAACTGGGTTCATTGCGATTTGGGCTCCCCAGATCAATCCCGTTGACGGGTGGTTGCTGATGGCAGAAATTGATAGAACAAGCTGAGAGACAGGTGAAACGATTCTTCAACGGTGTTTAGACAGCTGTGTCTCTCTACATTCCATATCGTTATTCTGGCTCTTTCTCATTTGCCATTTTCAGTGGAATTTAGATCAATTTTGACGTTATTTGTTTTTTAATTTTCATACACCGTCCAGAACACCGTACGGTATGCCACGGGAACTTCTTCAAAATATTCTTGTGGCAAAAAGAAATAATGCCAAGTCCGACGTTTTCTTCAATAAGCAGACACGAGGTTGCTATTACAGAATTTATTAGGATACAATAGCCGACGTTTCGGCGGCTTCGCCTTCACAGCCTGGAAAGGTAAAATTGAGATGTGATCTACCCAGCCAAACACTTTCATAACCCCAGCAGATAAGACTTAACAAATAAATTTGTATTCGCATATGAAACAGGATCATTTAGACACCTACCGTTTATTTGTTGTAAGTATTTAAGTTAGTTGATGGATAGCCTCCGCACAGAGTAATACATGGGCGATAACTGTGTCTGAGTCAGGTCATTGGATTAGCCTGAGGTATGGCGCCAGGTCACGTGTGATGACGAGACACACTTCCTTGCGGTCCATTTTTGAATCTTTGGAATTGATCCAAAACGCTTCAAGAGTTTTACGCGCTGATGTTTTCGATTCGTGCGTGAGGATACTGACTCCTACTTCAACATCTCGGTTGTATTCTCGCATCCTATGCGCACCTAGTGGAGTGTTTGGTTTTCATTTAGATTTACCTACTAGGTGTTCTTTTATGCGAACGCAGAGCGGTCTACCCGTTTCGCCAACGTATTCGTCGCCGCACACTTTACAAGAGATATATTAAGATAAATTGTAAAAAAAGATGCACTGTAAGGAATGATTGCTTAGTCAGAGCTAAAAAAACGGCAATGTATTCGGCCATTCTTTGCAGATATTTTTGTCCATTTTCCTATGACTCGATTTGAACCACCAACCTAAATCCTCATTTCCATTAAGGAGTTCAGTGCGTGGATTGTCACTGAGGGTTGGGTCCGACTCGACCCTTTGGTAGCCATGAAATGTCATTCCCGATTGGTCATCGGACACATCTGAAAAACTTCTCTTCCGGTCGTAATGTAAAAAAAAACTCAATTAATAGGCGGTGTTTCCACAAAAAGACAGGTTGAGCGATTCGA